CCAGAAACCCGCGAGAACACTCAATCAATTTGCCAAAAACCTCAGTAGCCAGACAATGCTGCTGGTTTCCAGAGGACCTTCTTGACGTATTCAGATCTATTTAGACCTGATCTTGAGAGTAGATGTTCGGTAGATGTTCATTAATTACATCTACCGAACATTGTACTGTGAAACAAAAATTGTTACACTTTTGCTGTCAATTTCACCTTTTTAAATGAAAAACATGACGGCAGAACTCTTGTTAGAGTTATGTAACAACGATGAAATTGAGCCAGACTTAAAAATACTCAGTTGCAATATCTATCGCTCAGTAAGTACAGTGGTCAGTGGAGATTTTTCAACAAACGAATGTTGATTGAATGGTTTGAGGTAGAGCCACTCGAGATTTAAAAAAAGATCAACACTTGCGCTAAATCGAACCTCTACCCTCAGTTTTCAAAAAAGAACTCAAAAAGAAAAAAAACATTACGTACAACGCATTCAAGAAACTTAAAATAACTTTTTCACCCTTTTCAGAATGTCTTGCAGTGGAGGAGTACAAAAACTTCTACAACAACTGGCATGAAAAATTGCAAAAAAAGAAGCAGAGTTGTACTAACGGTTTATTCAGTGTCGTCGTGGGTCTGCTCTGCTCAGATCAACTATCAAACTCCTTCGAGGAGCTCTGCCTGTTTCAGAAAAGTTGTAAACAAGTGAGTACAGCTGCTCGTTATTGAGGCAAAATTGTCTGAATTCTAAAATCACCGAATCTTTTTTCAAATATTTTTTATGAAAACGATGCTGCTCAGAAGCCCTTTTTGAAACTGCTAATCAATATTTTTTCGAATGACATTTTTCTGGCATTGAGCTCAAATTTTATCCCAAGCTTATCATGGATGAAGCAAAAAGACTTTAGACGTATCCAGTGCTCTGTAATGAATCCACGTGTTTTAATTATTTTTTGGAGGTGATTGAAAAAAAAAATTTTTTTTTGAAGTTATAGACATGGAATTAAAAACTGTTA